GTAGGGGGTAGAGGGGGGGAGGGTTAGTGTTTATTCAGACCTTACCCCTACCTCTGAAGGTAGAGAGGCAGTTTCCGACAGACCCCCAGCTCAAGGGAAGATGACAATGAAGCAGAAACAACACTACTAACAACACCAAGATAAGATTTTGAATCAAGAGAGCATAACAATAAAATTCTTTTTTGCTGGAACAAATCTGGAACTGTTAACACAAAAAAGAGTTTAATTCAAAAAATCAGGGTGTATAACCAGCAGGTCAGTTACCCATTAAAGAAACTGTGTTTTCTATTAGATGGTCTTGCACGTTCAAGTAATATATATTTTGAAGATATGTAGTCCAGTTCAGATCATTCCTTAGGGATAGCTGATGATATCTATTGACATCATATTATTGGAGCTGATTATTATCCATCAAAATATCAAATTACTATATTTAGTTAAAATTACCAAAATTAGAAAGTGACTTTAACAAAGATGATCAGCAAGATAAACAAAGCAGTGAATTTGATTGGACCATACTCTATTATTGATGCTTAATGAAGAAAAAATGACACTGACACAAAACCAATACAATTATCGCACAATTTTTTTTTTCTTTTGTTCTTTGGATACCAAAAGGGGAAGGGGTTGGGGAAAGAAAACGGCAATATATGTCCTATACAAAGAGCGCTCAAACATGATGGAAGAAAAGTTCCAAGAATGCATTTCATTAGCTGACAATTGCATACCTTCATTCCTAGTAATGCAGCAATAGCTCCTCCAAGGGAATGCCCCACTATTCGCACACCATATCCCTCACACTCACATCCTACTCCCAGCAATGACGAGAGAAATCCACCTGATATAGACGAAGCGCACATATATTCACAAATTATCATAGCAGATGTGGGGGATTGATTCAAAGCGGAAATAAAAGAGCAATTCGCTTCATGATGAACGTGTTTGAGTTTATCTCATAACAAAATATATCAACAGCTACATGTGGGCACTCATCAGAGGAAGATAGTTACCAGCTGCTAAGCATCTTCTTGAACTAATCAGCATAGGAATCAAGAAAAATAAACTGATAATAGGTGAAACAACTCAACCACAGCTTCCTTGTAAGAAGCAAAATAAAGAAATTTCTGACACACTGCCTAGCAGAACCAATTAATAGAAATGAGTATAAGAGGCATCGACATGGGTACTGTAGGGTGCCTGTCAATCAGAATATAATCCGGTAAACTGTGTGAGCCATCCGTAATAGCACCTTGAGCTCTATAAATTAAACTAGATTTGTGACAAATGGTATAACACTTCATAGGTGAAAAACCTCAAGAAGAATGAGCAAGAACTGATGCAGAGAACAGAAAATAGAAGTTACTTCTGACAGAGTAAGAAGATATTTGTTACCTTTAAAGATGGAATTACAGCGAAAGAAAAGTTAAAACAAAATTTGCGTCAACCCTTGCAAAATGAATCTTTTATGTTAAAATACTGAAGCAAGTTGAAAGAGGATCACCAACATCATTATAGGTCGGAGGTATTTAGAGAGATAATAGAGGGTACACTTTCAGGCATTAAATTTACTTTTACTTGGAAGAAGAGAATAGAGCCAAAATTATTATGTCGGTATTATGTTCGAAATTCTGAAAAAAATAAAATAGGGATAAAAAAACACAATATTAAGCAGGAATAAAATATAATTGCCAAGATCCTCGGCGATTTGTTCAAAATTGGGTTTGAGAATAACTATTAACTGTGTTTGGATTGAAAAATAACTACTTAACATATTATACATGGCCTAGAACTCCTAATATTGTATATTAATAGTCATTTACTACAGGGCAGATTCTCTTCTCCGTCTTGTTGTTCTATAGTCTAACCTAAGAAAGATTCACCTTCTTGGGCTTAAGTGATTGATTAGAAGTGTTTAAACATGGTCCCCTCGTGTTTAGACATTCAACCAGTCACTGCAATGTTGCAGTCTGACCCATTATGAGCCATTCATCTATCTTGCTGGAGAAAAACGAATGTGATTGCTTATTAATCCATTACGGCATTTTTTTTCAGCCCGATGGTCTTGGCCAAAGGAGGACCCAACTTAAACTCTCTTTCATGTTTTCCAATCCTCTTCGTACAGTAAATCTCTGCAAAACTCAGAGATAGTTGTTACTGGTAGCTGCCATCTCTGGAAGGACCCTCGTCCTTACCAGTCGTATTCTATGGGAACTCGCTGACCAACTCGTATCCAACACCTCACTCACATCCATATCTGCATTGGCATCAGTAAGCATCCTGGTGATTTTGGTGCTCAAATCAAGTAAATCCAAGTTCTACAGCAAATGTACCCATCTTCAGTTAGCATACAACAAGAATTTTACACACCTTTACTTGATAAATTGACTCTTGACCTATGTTACATAAACTCGTCTATGTATACGAATTCAATACAGGTGTAGCCATATATCGAGTATGGAACAGTGCAACTTGTTTTCTATTTCTTAGTGCATTTAGAATCTGCATACAGTATCTACATCCATGCACATTTGACACTGGGTACATCAAGACAGATGAAAAAATGCTGTAATTAGATCATGATGGGTTAATCGTGTTAATTTCCACATCAAATAAACCATTGCATAAATTCCCAACTCCCCAAAACAAGTTCAGATGCAATAAGTGAATGGGTCCAACTAAGCTTATCATCACAAAACACTTCTTTTTGCAAGCCTAAACAGCCAGTCATAGAAGACCCACATGTTGTGGATCATGAATAAATCGCTCATCCACCTCTCCCATTCCATAGCACTCTGTTAGTTTTAGCTTCAAATGGGAATAAAAACAAAGACACCTTCAAGCCTGTTATCAGGTTCCACACGCTAGAAACCCCAGTCTACAATAGCTTCTGGAACCCTGTTTGACAGTCAAATCTCCCAATCAGGCATGACTACAGGAAATTTCCAGTGTAGAACTTCACTGATGGATAATCTTCACAGTGAAGTACCATTATGACAGTCTTCAAGGAGCAATGATGGACGATGGTCAGCCACCACCTCCCTATACAATTTCATTCTCCCTCATGTTCAGCACTTCAGGACTTTAAAGGAATACCCATGTGCACAAGAACTTCTAGCTCTTGGTAAGTTTGTTGGAGCATGATGACAACCTTCTATAACGGCCTTGGTTACATATACTCCTTATCAAACATATCAACCTGCAATTCTAGCACTAATAACTACTCTCAGTGTACTAGATGCTACGAATGATTTCAGGTCACAAACAAATACTAGCATTTAGCCAGTGCTTTCACCAAAACAGCAAGAGATTGTTGTAAGTTGTACAAGTGAAACAACAGTACAAAATTGAATGTTTTAAAATTGTTCCAGAGAAAAACAGGGAAAATAAATAGTACAGAAAACAATGCACTATACCATCTTCAGAATTTCCATCTACTTGCATGTAAAGATCACGTGCGGCCTCAACTACTCCTGAGTGTGCATAGTGTGGTTTGGATGAAACCACCCTTTGACGAATGCACGGGTCAAAATGACTGCCACTGAAAAAGAATGGTGTATTAAAAGAGGGAAAAAAACAGGAGAATCGTCAAATAGTGCTGACTGCGTAGATCCTGTGCAGAAACCCAAGTTCAAATTTAGGCAGCAATGGAAGCAAACAGAAAATCACATCACATTACTACAGCGAATGTTCAATCTCTTCCTGGTTCCTCAGGGTAACAACAGTAATTCTATTATGTGCTTATAGGTCATTTTTCCTTCATTTTCTATGGTTTTAGCTTTATGTTGAACAGTATAAAGTGTTACAATTGTGAATCTCATTGGGATTTTATAAAAAATTAATTCTATAGAGAAAATGGACAATGGACCCAACTCAACTCCAAAAGTTAGCTCAAGAGCAATGATTACCTAAGACTATATAAGGAAATTACATCCTATACCCTTAACTGACTTGGGATTCTAACACCTCCCCCTTCCCCGTACTATGAAAGAATCTAAACATCCAACACAAGATCTTTAGACAATGGGTGGACCGATCCAAACCTTTTTAAAACTGTTTGGAAATTTTTACAGAATTTACTAACAACAATACACTCAATGCTCTCCGGCACGCGTAACTCTATTTTGAGGTTGACACGTGAATTTTAGTGCGGACTTACAGGAACGAACTCTAGCTTACGTAAAACACATTGATAGAAATGCAAAACAGACAGAAAACGATATAATGGTAAAAGGAAGGCAGTCAAAGGATATCGGAAAGTGATGCCGGAAGCGGATTTACGTGCATGTGAATGTGCATATGCAACAAGAAAGGACCAAAATGAGAGAGAGAAAGGGAGGGAGGGAGAGAGATTACTGTAGCAGGCTATCTAAATCTCCTTCAGTAAGGCAGCTTTCCCTGCCTAAACCATCAGTTATGAGGTCTTCAGGGGTCTCAGTTCCCCTCACAGCAATTACAACGGATTTCACATTATGCAAAACCACAATAAAGTATGCTGCTTTACACTTTCCCTGAAAAAGAAATACAGTATTATTTTTCTGAAATGAAAGACAATATTTCTTTTCTGGATAAGAAAAATGAAAGACAATATCTAAGGAACAATAATATACATAACCTATTTCTGCCAAAAAAGAAAAAAAATCCAAAATAAGACATGTTTTAGTACTCATGGTTCACTTGATTCACAATATTCAACAAAAAGGCATGGCAAACTTTTGAGGGATGTAGAGGAATTGTTCATTGGAAATCACTACTATGTTAATCGAAACCTTTATATCGTCCATTCCTCTACTGAACTTCTTACTGCTCAGACAGATTCCATTCCCATCTCAGAAGCAAAAAGGGATTACAAATTTTCACTTGTGAAGTATTAAGTTTTATTAAATAAATGGGATAGGAAATTCCCGCATACTAGACAAACATAAAAGTTAAAGAAACATCATAAAAGGAACATTCTTTTGTAAGAGAGAAATGTCATACAAAAACATGATTCTCTACAAAAGTAACATGTCATCGCTGGAAAAAAAATATTAAATGTTTATATTAATATACTGCAAAAGGAAAGCAATATATATTAAACACCGCTTCCTAGCAGATAGTGCTTCTTGGTCCGCTGATCAAGCTTGTATTTGGGCTTGTAAAGGTCGTTGGTTTGAATCTGTACCTAGACATATTTTTTGAAGATCTTTGAGGAGCTTGTTGTTAAAAATTTGAGGCTACGGAGGCATTTAACTTGAGGTAAAATAATACTAAATAATACTTTTTTTATTTATGTAAATGCGACACTGCTTACAAAAAGTTCTGTGTACACCCCTGTCTAGTACTAATGGAATGTGTCACAGATGATCCAAGAATGAACATAAAATAAGAATGTTTACTAATTTATACAAAAGACTCTTCCACTCCTTCAAACTCCCACAAGGAAATTTTTTTGGTATCTTTTCAACTTTTCAGTAACAGAAAGTGTGCACATGAGAGACATGTAATATGTTGGTATATAAACAAGGTGCTCTTGATTAGGACCCTCATGTTCCCTAAATATCTTTTCTTCCATCATGTTAACCTTTTCTCCACTTCTCATAACAGATTCCATATAGCAAACTTCGTGCGACGCTCCTAACAGCAGGCCTAGGTAAATCGTAGGAAGTGCTCCTAACACTTATGTTATAGTTCAATGTCGCCGATCTCCTCAACCGGGATAATCTAACACCCCTGCCTTATCTTCTTTCCCTGCATTTTACGATGAGATTGGCTTGCTAAAGACAAAAACAATATTTTTTTGTCTTGAAGTCTTGAGCTTCTCCTGTCTAAGCATACACTTCCGGTGAAGTTGCATAGCCCCTCAACTTGCATTGCCTCACACACAAGCAGGCCGCTTTTCAAAATTAGGCTTAAAGCAATTCAAATTTATGAAATTACAGGCCTTAAATGACAAACTGACAGTCCAGACCTCACAAGGTTTACAAATCACTTAGAATCAAAAATGTAGTTCACATAGTAAGGTGATCACATCGTTTCAATATGACCTTAGGAACATACAACCAAATAGATAAGCGGGCACAATATCCTGATAAACTGCTTCTTATCAAAAACTGGTGGTGATATTACAAAGGTAACTTGTACAATCAGTAAATAGTTACACTAAACTCTATTAGCACCAAAGCTGGATGGTTAGGTGATCACTGATCAGAGCTTAGGAATGTCATTGCAAAATATCAGCAGCTTAAAATAGCCTATAGATCTAAAGCTAGACTTACTTGATTAACACGTCCTTTTCTGAGCATATGTGCTGACAAATGAACATGTTTCAAGAAGGCTGCAGCATGACCTCGCCACCAGTTGTCACCTTCGAGTAAAGGTCGCCTACATCAAAAGAATTTTATTTCAAAATAGAAAAGAAGAATCAAGTAACCATGATAACAATCAAACAACAATGTGAAAATAACTTAGTGTCACAAAAATAAGGGTTCGTGATTTGTCCAATGAAGCAGATTTAATGAAGTCAACAATCCTTAGCAGGAACCTTCATTTGATTGTGCTGGATCTTACATTATCAGATCTCTGAACATAAATCAAGAAATCTAGAAGAATCTAGGTAATTCCATTCATCCTTTTATGATAAAATCAGTTGCTGGCACCAGTACTAGACTAGACACATATTTGAAGTCCCCTGAGTGGAGCAAGCAGTTGTTATCATGCACCACGGATCGTACCGTGTATGTATGTCTGATACTCCAACTTTGTTTTAGGATACCTAAGAGTGACGAGCATCTTGATCTTTCAGATTTAGAAAGTCTAAGCAGAGAGTTCCTTTAAGCCAAAGCTCTTCGAGGTGATCTGAAGAAGCTTACTTCCTTTACTAGCCACAGTTGGAACCTGTATATGGTCTATTTAAGGGAATCATCATTTGTTTGTTTCACCAGATAGTGAGGATGAAAAAGCATAAACTACCTCGTTCATGCTCACTCTATCCACATAGTACAGAGCTCGAGTCCCTTCCATAAAACATTAAACTCATATATTTTCTGGCGACTTGTAGTAAATTGCCAATCCTTTTTGCTCATAAATGTAGAGCTTCTTCTATTTCATATTCCAGATCTTACATCCTGTCAATTGCTAGAGGAGTCCCTTCATTCTTGGAATTTTTCCCCATGTATAATCCATCCATATGCAAGCTTATGACTTGCGGCCCAATGAACTTCTATGTTTTCCCACTGAAACCCTTTCTTTTCAACTTTATAAAGCAAATGTTGCTTCATGCTTTAACAATCCAAAGTTGCTGATCTACAACCAAGATATAGCAGTAGGTGTCTTACCTGTTCCATAGCCAGGGAGCAAGAATGCCTTGCCTATGGAGCCATGAACATGAAAAAAGTACAGGATTTCTTCCTATATCAAGTAATAGACCCTGCAATTGACCATTCCACGTCAAAATAAGGAGAACGAAAATCAAGTCAAATTGAAATGCCTTGTTGCCATACCGTGTAGGCTGCTTCTGCAAACGGATGAAAGAAAGCAGCCCCGCGCATCCTGTCCATGGGTACGATCATTGACTCTTCATACAATTTAGAGAATGAACGAGGATTCTGCAATAAAGCTAGTCCTGAATATCAAGAAGAGATCATTTTCTTTTACCTTACTGATAGAAAGAGATAAGCTTGTTTCCAAAGTGAATAAGTACGAATCGAGGGAGTAGAAAACAAATCCAATACTTAAAGCACTTCCAGCACTCATCACTACATTTTTACTGTAATGTTGGAGGAGAAATTACCGAAGAAAAGGATGCAAAACAATACACAAAACCTTGATCAGGTCAAATGAACAAGAATTCTCCTCTTAGCTCCCTCTGATTAAAATCTCTAATTTTTTCAAATGACCTTTTTATTCTTTTCCATTTGATTTTCAACAAGAAACTTTATGACTTCTTGTATAACTATTTCTCAATTAATACTCCTTTTTCCTTGTACAAATCACTCCAAACATCTGAATTGCAACATTCTGAAAGAACTGCAGCACCCAATCATCCTAAAGGACCTAAACAAGTTGTGGATAAATGTACATAATCCTATGTCCCTTTTGCCCTTTTTTTGGGTGAGTGAAGGTTTGAGAGCGCGGAAAGAGCCCATGATTATTTTATTTCTGTTTCTCTATCATCCCTACTGTCAGATATGCTTGCACAAGAATGCACAAACTAAAGAGGTATCCTCATGAGTTTGAAATTGGGGATACGCTTCTCCAGATATATGTTCAACCAGCATGATTTTGGAAGAGATGTTAGAATACATAATACAATAATAGAACAGCTTTGTTTTTTTAGAATCTTTCATGTCCACAATCAAGTTTAAAAGGCATCCAAAAGGATTTTTTAAGGTCTTGCACCACTCTACATATTCGTCAACACTTTCTATAGAATGGTGAACTGTATACTTTACAAGTACCAAATAAAGAATACGTAAAAGTAAAACACAGACCCCTACAACAGCACTAACCTGCTAAGAGCTCCAAATGACCTGTCCCAGATGCACGGTAAGTCACAAGATCACCAAGTAACTGTGCCACAGAACAAACTTCATCTTCCTCTAGCACAGTCCTATGCAGGAAACAGAGCAACAAAGAAAGCTGGTTAAACAATCTCTATGACAATTCAAATCCTGTGGTCAACATATGCAGAGAGGCCTACAAGTATTTGACCCGTCCCAGACAGCACAAAGCTTCACGAATGCCATGATCAAATACCTCCCTATAATGTGCCTTCCATGCATTATCTTCTGTTGCATAGAAAGACCTCCATCTCAAGACCTCAGCTCCAGCAAAGCATTGTACTGGAGCCACGTAAGATATAATAACCATAAAAAGAATAAGCATGTTGCGTTGCCACCTTGAACCATTTGAGAGAAGCCCTGCAAGATACTTTCACAAGTATTTTCAGTTTGATGACTGAAATAAAAGATGTTGGTTAATTGTGTTATTTACAAACATAGTAGTCAGGTTTAACTAAGCAGGCAATAAAAGAGAATGAAAAGGCAAATATAAGGTAAAATATTGTAAATAGATCGAAATTTTCAAGAAGGCACGCATAAAATTCCATATCACCTCTCAGACAGTTGCTTGATGTTGAATCACGATGCAAAAGATTTGTGACACTGACCAAAAGAAAAACAGCCCCAAGAAGCTGCACCATTGTAATTACTGAGGCAATTCGGGTCCACAATAATAGTCTCCTATATTTCCTCTGTAATCAGGACGTAAAACCCAAAAATATGTTACAATCAAGAAATGTCTTTCAGAGGGCTCTAATGATTTTACACGTAGAGAATACTTGGTAAAGGAGAATAATTTTATCACATGCCCATCACAGCAGATGAATATGTCTTACCAAAATAAAGTAATAATATACTAAAGCAGCAGGCTGGCATTAAAATCTGTTTAAATCATGAATGTAAACAATAAACAAAAGTTGCATATGTCTGGCTAGATGTTTCAATTATAATCTTTATATATTAGGAAAAATCACATGCTCAAATATCTTGATGCCCTCCGATGACAGTGCCATTTCTTTCAACCATAAGATACAGTCCAAATCAACAAACATAAAATAAATACACGTGAATGCTAAAAACCAGAGGAGAGAAAGAGCAGCAGATCTGTCTAAAAGGCTAATTATGACGTCTGGATCTGGAAAATAAATACTAGGTATGTCTAATCCAGCTGTGTGTGCAAATAAAATTGGGATTATTCAGGTAAAATTTTAAGCAGACCCTACCTTGCATAACAGAAAAAATATAAAGGTGTATAGAAGGTGATACATCCAATTGTGTTAAGACGCCTACATGGAACAGATTCAAGGATCAACTAGCTACTCTAAAATACTCTTGTATAATAGGAAACCAACCGTTTAAATCCCCCTATTTCAAAAGGGAACTACAAGGAACTACCATAAAAAGGAATAGACAAGCAACAACTGTGTAGAAACCTTTTAAGTCGAATTCTTTTCTCTCTTTTCTTGGTTTAGGTTTAACCATTATCATATCTAATAAAATATGAGTTATGATACGATACAATTCAATACAGGCTGTAATATGCATTTTACGATCAAACCACACACCATGCGACTGACATTCTGAATACTCGTGGATTCACATCTGTATTGGGTCTTGGTGGTGGTGATGCTGATACTAATGTTGGAGATGGATAATTAATTTATTCCAAATGTTACTGAGTATACGTTTTATTATATACAAGTAAGGTACTTTTTTCCGTAGAAGCACCACGAATAATGTGCTAAATATCTACATCAAAGTAAAAGACTATAACTCCTACACATATGCAAAGAGTCTATGAATTCCAGAAAAGTGTCAAAATTCATTCACAAGTTTCAGCGAACGCCAAAAACTATTAGCGTGTGAACATCTAGACTCAAACAAATTGATGCCTCTGATCCTCCTTCGAAACACTTGTAATTCCTTTCTTTCTATGTTACCAAATGATGCACCTAGGCACCGTCATCCATTATGGACCTGAGGTGTCACCTCATATGCCCTTGCCAACCAGTTACAGCAGCCTTTTAAGGTGTATGGCAATACTAAAGGAAAGGCACCAGCTTTACATTCATGGATCCCAGCCAAGATCAAATATTGACTGAATTTTGTGGAAGTAAACTGCTTTCAATCCAATGACCACCTTTCTTCTCTCATGTAATGCTTTTGTGATAATCTTGTAACATCCCCTAAGAAACGAGTAGGTACAAGCCTCATAAGTCTACAATCCCTTTCTTCTTTGGATAAAGCTATGAAAAAATACATTCAAATTTCTTTCAAAGTCTCGTTCCACATAAAATTTCCAATGTTCAGTCAAACACCGCCACATAAAATGAAACAAATACCATAATAGTACTAAAACAATAGCATTTTTCACCGTTGCACATAATCAAATCTACTGTAAGAAAAAAAAAGGTTAATTTTTTTACCCGTCGTTGATGTCGAATAGCAGCTTGAGAATCAGGCAAATCAGCCTCAGAAGTTAAAATACTAGAAGCAGTATCTTGTTGAGCAATACCAGTACCAATCATAGCACCAATTCTTACAAAACTAGCCATCATTATAACAAAAACAGGCGCAATATCCTTTTCTCCACACGAATAACGCGTAATAATTACAATACCAGTTCCCATTATTATTATAAGCGCATTGGAGAGGCCCAATACTAAAGCTGATCTCCTTAATTTCCTAAATTCCGGTGCCTCTAATAAAGGCACCACCATTTTGCGGAATGATTTGATTTTTGAGAATTTCAAAAAGCTTAAACCTAAGCCTTTTGATCTGTTCCGCAATTTTGTTGGATTTGGATTCAGAGGAAGAAGAGGAGACATTCAAATGTGAAATTAATTTGACATTTTTCAGGAATCCTGATGATTTTTCCGGTCGTTTTTTCTCATCTTTTTGGCCTCTGGATTCTGGAGAGGTGTCGTTTAGGAGACGACGTGACCTCTTTTATTTTCTTATTTCGGGCAGGCAAGTCGCATGTGCTAAAAGAGACCTATCATTTTCTTTTTTCCCACGCTTCGAAATAAATTAGCTCAGAATTAATTATTTCGATATTATTATCCCATCTAGGAATAAAAATTAACACTACAATTTCGAAATGACTAATTTCGAAATTAGTTTTAGTGTAATTTTATCTCAACCAAATATGCAATACTCATCTCAAATTTAATTACGAGATTAATTATCTCTTATCCCTCGTACCAAACCCTAAAAAGGCAACTTCTTGAGGTTTTATAATTATGGATCTAGTTATTTCATGAAAGCATTCATAAACTTCTACTTAAATTAGTCATATAATTCTTGTCTTTCTCACATATTTTTGTAGTCTTAACAATTTGATAAATTACCATAGCATAGAATATATTGCTAGTAACCTTCAAATATTATACAGGTGATGTGAACATAAGCTTAATAATATTCTAAAACTTAAATTTCTGAAAAATATTTGAATAGGATTTTCTTCAACTAGAAAGGTGGAAAAAATGTAAATTTGCCTTTCATTGACCAGGAAGGCGCCGTCGTTAACCCAGTTTGCGTGTACCTTGACTATTCCACTAAGTATACAAATTACCAAGCAACTTTGTCCACCAACGAAAATATAAATGATAAAAAAAAATTAAAAATAAATAAAGCAGATGGAAAATGAATTTATTTCAAAGGCAGGGTAAGAACTACTAGTTGGACAGATTGTTGTTGTTGTTGTTTGAAAGAACTACTAGTTACATCATCCATATGTTATTTTTGCCATTAGTCCAAAGCTCAGAGAAATGTCCCCAAAAGCATTTCGAACAAGAAAACATGTTGTTACAAGTATACAGAAATTTTGATACAACAGTATCTTCAGATACTACATGCCATAAAATACTTCTTCCTCCCATTGATCTTCCTTGAATAATGGATTGGATGGCTGCTGGCTTCCATAAGCATCTCATTCTCCTTCACCCAAGATTGGCACGATGAGTGGTTTCAACTGTGCAAGATACACAATCGCCCACCTATCCATAAGAACAATAAAAGTGTTAGAAACAGTTAACATTCCATCGATATGTCACTCATGTTGGTTGAGTGTCATTACTTAAACCTCTCACTTGTTATATCCGAACGCCAGCATACTAAAAGAACTTATGGTAATTCAAGCTGCGAGTAGCAGTAATCCAACTACTACTTTTTAAAGTCGCAAGTGAAAATGACATTATTTCAAGGCTAAGAAAGCATGACAAAACCAAACCATGAACTAGTACTCTCTCCCTGCTGTAGGGCAACCAGAGCTAGCAACATCTTTAAAAGGTGACTAATCCATTAACAACACAGACTTCCAGCAGCAGGAGAATTCCGGTGGCTTGTGCAGAAAACTGACCAAATTACAAAGGCTTTCTTTTTAATTCTTTTTTATCCACTGCTAGAGCTCCATAAAATAATCAATCTCAAACAAGCTCACAGCCCTATAAAAGGTTATCATCGCGCACTGCCATTTGCAATCATCAGATGATGGAAAAACCCTATAAATGTCCTTACTTTTTCTGATTTCTTGGAAAACAAGCATTTCAAGGAGCTGTGATGAGCATAGTGTTCAACGGGATATCAAAGCAAGCATAGGTCCTCAGTCCACCTATTATCAAAAGGAACTTTCACGTGCTTGGTCCAGAAAAAAGTATCAAGTGTGCATGAGAAGGTGTGTTGAAGACATAGTTAAATAACTAAAAGTGTGTGCTCTTTAAAGTTTAAGCTTTTATATGAGATGGCCACACAACTCAAAGGGCCAAGGGTCAACAGTCATCTATCCTAGAATTATGATTATTGCGTACACAGTTCAATTACGTAACCAGCCAACTCTTCAAATGACCATATGTTCTTCACTGTAGCATCAATATCCCAATATCAAAAACCAGAAAAATCAACAACCCACTATCTAGTTTATGCACAGTCCGGCAATTTGAAGAGCACAAGTGATATATTAAACAAGTAATCAACAAAAATATGTACTTATCAGCAGAAAGGTAGTCATCATAATACATACAATGAATGGGTGATTAACAATACAACCTCTTTAAACATCAAAACTTTTAAACAATGCAATGCGCTGTAGAAAAATTCAGAATAGGACTTAACTAGTTTCTCGTTTCAGGTCCAACACGCGAGTCATGCTTCAACATTCAAGAAATATGGCAATATGTACCATATCATGTTTTTTTTAATTGACCCCCCGCACGTTAAGAGTGTGTTTTTCTTTTCTTTTTTCCTTTTTTGTGTGTGGGTGTGTGTTCGTCTGTGTGTGAATTAAAGAGAGCGGGATAGAGATAGAGAGACTCACATCATCCAACAGCATACTGTAGCAGTTATAATCAATGTCAGGTGTAACCTGCACCACCAAACTTCAGTTAGAGATGTAGCAACAGAGCTCAAAGTTTCTGTTCAGATGGTTTGTTCTCTACTGATCTTCAAATACTTAACTCTATAAAGAATATGCTTTACTGCTTTTTGTTAATCGCAATCTTAACATTAGGAGGTTTGAGCAAAGAAGTGATTATAATGGGACCATTTAACCAATAAAACTGATATTTGACTTACTAATAATCATGCAAATTACAAAGTATTCTGAGGAAGCTTAATCAAAAGGGCATTAGAAAGTTTGTGCTGCCTTTGATCCAACTATAAGCAACACATAAACTTATAGCATTTTGAATTAAACTAACTTAAAATTTAAATGAGGGACCTCAATGTAAGGAATATCAATGTGGGAAATCTTAAAGCTCAAGTCTTGTAGGTTTATTCGATAGTCAGAAGAGCATAGGTGAAGTCGATGCTCTGACGTTTTCCTATAATAACTCCTCGAGTGTTTGTTATCTCAAACCTATTCAGAAATTCCCAGACTATTCCAGATCAGAGATGATCAAACGATCAAAAAGATTGCAGCACAAATTGTTCAACAATCTTGTGCTCAAATCATTATCACTGGATACAGACCAAAAATCTAGGTGATTTTCAATCGGGATTTTTACACAAATAGCCATCTTTACTTTTTCTAGCCATATACATAGATTATACATTAGTTATACATAATTATACACATATAACATAAATTATGCATTTATATTATATCTCCACCGGCTATTTTTAGTTTAAGTGGTTGGCTGGGAGGCTATTTGGGTAAATTCTTCTTTTCAATCTGCCTAAGTGCAGAATACACTCTGTGTGGCAAGTACTCGGTGGAATAATCGGGCTAAAGTTGGTCGGACATCACCATAACAAAAGGTAAAAAATGGATAGACTTCTCCAATTAATCTAAGCAAGAAACGAAATAGACAACTGATGCAATATCAAAGAAGCATAGAAAAGAAATACAATATTCTAATTATATTTCTGAACAACAGATAAGTGATTATCATATACTCCCTCCTTTTCAAAAAGAATGAACCTATTTGACTAGGTACGAAGTTTAACAAGTGATTTAAGACTTTCAAAACTTGTTTTTGTGGCTATAAATTATCTCACTAGGGGTAAAATGGGAAGTTTAAAGTTACATTTTTTCGAAATTTAGAAAAGGATCATTCTTTTTTAAATGGACTAAAAATAAAATAGATTCAATCTTTTCGAAACTGAGAGAGTAATTGATCCACCATCGATTAGTTCAATTAAAACAAAATAGTTACTAACTTTAGTAAAAAGTGAATCTCTAAAATAGTAAACAGACACTAATTTCTGATAATAAAGCTGGTTTAATCAAGCAATGAGCAGAATAATCAACAACAATAGGCCCAAAAATTAAAAAATAATGTGAAGGTAATGCAGATAATTTGTAAGGAATTAGAGCATACAGATTAGTGGAAGGCCCTTTATTGCAGCAGATTCCAGCACAGAAACATGCAATAACTCCCACCACTACAAAAATTAGAGTTGTCACGAGGAACCCCATTTTCCTCCACAATCTGAGCTGAAAACTAGTTATTTTCTGCAAAAAACATAAACATCTCAAAATATAATTATAGTTATAATCATACAAAAGATAAATAAATAAATTATTATACCAAATCCACAAATGGGTTTTGCAAATGAGAGAGATAGAGAGAGTCTATGGAGAAATTTTTTGTAAAATAGGAGGGAAAATGTTCACTGGTGTTGGATGAAGGAGAAGCAGAAACGGTGATCTGAAAAATATTATAATACTACATGTATTAGTACATACAAGATATAGAAATTAAAATCAGTAAAAATTAATTTAACAGCAAATTGTTTTGTTGTGATCTATTTTTTAAACTAAATATTTCAAAATAAAATAAAATAATAAAATCATCTTTGAAAAAGAATATAACTGCCTTTGACATATTTAAGTCGACTATGATTATATATGGAATTTGTTTGGCTCAAAAGTTGTCTATGTCATTTGTAAGCTTAAAACAATCAAAATAAACCAAGGGCCAATTATAGCAGATCGTAATAAATTAAGGGACCGATGGAAAGAAATGAAAAGTCAACATTCGGAATTAAGGAGAAATATATGAAGCGCCTTTATTGATAGTATTGGTTTGGTCTGGAGAGGTTCAGAGCCTTATAATAATGTTCTTTTTCCCACAATATGGGCAGCACTGTGTGTTCTTTCTCCCTTAGGAGTAGTGGCGAAGAAGAAGAAGAAGCAGCCCCCCTCTAGGGTTCTTTCTCTTAGTATTTATATTTGTGAACTGTGTGAGCTAATCAGCAAGTGGTCGTGACCACACTGGAGTTCCTCCTTTAACATAATGGACAGGCCGTGGTCGTGTTGGTCGTACCAGACGAAGATTAAACACTTAGTTCGGAATGGCCCTACCATCTATTAATTATGAATTAGCTTAAGGCGGAATTAGATTCGTTAATTGTCGTGGGGTCGTATTCTGACCCATACAGTTAGTCCCTCCGCTTATTAAGGTCGTCCCTGAGCTTAATGAGCGGACTTCACCGGTCGCAAATTCGAAAGACTTGGACGGGAGGTCGAATGTGGTTTCGGGCGGGGCCGAATTCTGTTTGGCGACGGCCCTTGGCTTTGCATAAGGTTGCTTAGTACTCTACATTAGTAATATCATGTCGTTGTTTGATTAGTCGAAACCTCCTTCTTTGGCGAAGGCACTCGGCCTTTTATTTTAACTCGAGTGAGGTTGAGCTTCGCTTCGCTCTAATCCTCATGTTTATTTGAGACGGCGACGTTCAAAAACTTTCTAGACGCCCGGAACGTCTCCTCATCGTTCACAGGTCGTTACAACTGTTTCGAAGACGAACATCAGTTGGTGACTGAAAAGCCGCTTCATGGAGCTTGTCATAATGACGCACATTTCTGTAGAACTGAACCGTTTCGCGGTTGGTCAAGTAGTTAATAATGGCTATTGGATTTCGTGAAATCCACTTGTATTGCTTATAAATACAGAACTGAGGCCTTTGTTCTCCACATCTTTCGTTGTTTGCTAAGAGAGAATTTCTGAAGAAACCCTTCTTCCTTCTTATTCATCTTCATCTTTGCTTTTCGATTATAATATCCCTCATTTTCCGTTGAATCTTGCTCCTTTCCTGTTCATTAATCATCAATGGCAAGCAGCTCTTCCCAGAATGTTCTTCCGGCGACTATTCCGGCTGCCCTTCCGGTGGTTGAAGGGCCATCTCTGGTAGTAAGAGGTGCGGAACTGGTGGAGATTGACGGGGTTCCATCGGTTGACGAGATTTTATCTCTGCCCGGGGGCCTGTGACTGACTTTACCGCTGATGGTGGAGATGATCAGGTGAATGAAGCCCCTTTAATTGGGGGAGGTTAGGATGGCCCAGTTACGGGAGCAATGGGGTATCCCCAGTTACGCTAACATCGTTCTTGCCAGGAGTGAGGAGAGAGTTCATACGGACCGCAAGGGATACTGCGTCTTCTATGATTGTCCCTTCAAGTTGGGATTTAGGCTCCCGCTTCCGATGCTAGTAGTAGATTTCTGCCAATACTATGGGGTGTGCCCGAGTCAGCTCACTCCTTCTCTTTACAAGTTGCTGGCCATGTTCATTAAGTATGCGGAGTTGGCAGGCATGGAGGTCACACTGCAACACGTACTTAATCTTTACGCTCCTCTGAGAGTCCGCGGCACGATGATTCGGGCGAGCCCTCGTGGGGCGAGGGCCTGGCCACAATATTGGATGACGGGGTCGAAGCTCGCCCTTTCAAGAACTTCTTTTACATCAGGACCGAGCATCTAGTAGTGTGCGCTACTGAGTTCCCAGAAGCTTGGAATCATGCACGTAAGTCCTTTACTCGTTGAATTCTACTTTCCGCCCCTCTTTACGCCTTGTGCTTATAAGCACTAACTCATTTTATTTTTGTAGCTGAAAGGCCGCTGCTAGCTCCGTTGCTTGGGATACGTGAGTGGGTCGAGGCCGTGCTCCTGCATACAGCGGGAATACGCACGTGGACGTCTTTTTGGGAGAGGCACGGCCGTAGGCCCGTAGCAGGTGAGAAATTTGCTTTCTCCTCTGTTCCACTTCGTTTCAACTGTATCTAACAGCTTCGTATTTCCGTGATCAGGGAGGGCACGCCACGTCAGGGCCCCTCAATTGGCATTTCGGTACCCGGGGGCGATTGCTCGTCGTACTGCAGCGCCGGCTCCGCGCCCTGTATCGAGGGCGACATCGGTTGAATCTTCGGCGACTCATTCTCCAGCACGGACTGCACTTCGGGTCGAGGGGTCCTCGGGGGTTGTGCGTCCTAGGGCAGAGTCGCCCTTAAATGAGGAGGAGGAGGAGGAAGAGGAGAGGTCATTGGTTAGGTGGAGGGTTGCATTTATGTCGGCTCCTCCTGTGGTGATAAGTTTAGACTCTCCCCCGCCGGATGCGGAGAGGAGTGCGGCCACGGCGCCTTCCCTTGAGGGTGCACAACAGTGGGGGATACCCCAGTTGGCTTAGGCCATGATGATACTGTCGCTTCGACGATTCAATTGACAGTTCCAGTCGCTGAGATGGGAGGTAGTTCCTCGGTGGCTGTTTTTGTTGGAGAACGAAGCAATCCTACGGCGGGTGCTTCGACCTCGCGGGCGGCGAAGGGAGGAAGGGGCGTTGTAGGAGATGAGTATGAGCCCGAATCTGACTTGGACCCTGACGACGTCTGCATGTTTCAAGAAGGCCTTACCAATTCAATGGTGCAAGCGGAGGGATGGTCTCGCTATGTTGAGATTCCCACAGAGTCGAATTTGTTGCTCCAAGGGAATAGCTTGGTGCTGTTGTTTAAAGTGCTGTGCTCGGAGACTGAGAACGCGTCGTTGAGGGACGTCACGGATATTGGACTGATGAACGAAGTGGCCGTAATGGGCCTGAGGGTACGTGTTATGACCTTAGTCTGTTTTTCTCTTAGTTTATTCCTTTATCTTGATTGTTGTCTTTGCTCTTGCAGTCATTTTTTTTGGAGGTGGAGAGCATCCGTCGAGCCAATGTCCGCTCGGGGATCTTTTTTCGGGCATTGGAGAAGTACCGTCGCTACCAAAATAGGTGTCGCGAGATGCGCGAGTGCCTGAGGAACGACCCCCGTAGCCGGGCCTTGGTCGAGGAGCTGGCGAGGCGAGATCTTCAGATGCAGCAAACACTTGGCAGGGTGCGTACCCTCGAGGAACAGCTTTGTCAGAAAGACGAGGAGATCGAGGCTGAAAGGAGGGCTGCAACTGAAAGGGAGCACCAGAGTCAGGCTATGGCGGTGGAGGACACCGAGACCTTGAATGGGAAGGTAGCTGCATTGGAGAATGAGGTCGCCGCTTTGAGGCTACAAGAAAGGGATGCATCATCGAGGGTTGGGGCGTTGGAGGCGGCGATCCGCGTTCATGAGAGGGAGCGGGAGTCAGAGAGAGCTTCTGCGGCCTTTAGAGAGGCGGGGCTAGAGGACCGCATTGGTGTCTATGAGCGGGACGCCCAAGCCATGGCGGATCGGGTCACGGCCCCTGAGGGGGAAAATCAGCGCCTAAGGGACCAGGCCGCCTCTTCCAACCAGGCTCGTGAGCTCTGGACGTTTGCTGAGGCCTAACGTGATGTATATAAGAACTTGTGCGAGGGCGGCATCGTACCTGAAGCTGCTTTCGAGGAAGCCCGTCAGAGGGCTTGTGAAGACTGTACTGACTGTGGTTTTGACCCAGCGACGTCGGGGGATGATGATGGTGCTGATGGTGGCGTGAGTGCCGCCGAGTGAAAAGATTTATAATGTACTTTTTCTTGTCTTTTTTGCTGTTTCGCGTTTCTTGTTTCCCTTCTCTTTTTTTTTATTGACCGGCCTTGGCCGGGTGTAGGCGGGGATGACCCGTTATTGACTTTGTAAATATATGAAATTTTCTTTTCCCTTATTTGCCTTGTGCTTATTTTGTATCTTCCCTTGTTCCTCAAGTTTTTCTTTTGCATGCGTTCAAGGGGGGCTTCGCCTTAGAGTTTCTCTGGTAGGCATGTTAATCCCCGACTGTTAACGGTGTTGTTTCTTCGACTCGGTGTGAGCGATCATAGCCGTTTTCTGACGATAGCGGCACTTGGACTTAGTCCTAGTTCGGACGCGGTCAAGTCATCGGTCTTGATGGTGAGAGGTGCGGCCTTGTAGTTTGATCGGGGCCGAACTTTACATGGCCCGAATCTTAGTTCAAGTTGGGAGCACACACCTGAACGGCGAGGGTTGCTAACCTACGCCTCGATTCATTGGAGGTTCGGCTTTGCTGAGTTTTAACAGATTAAGCGCTTGACCCGAGTCCTAGTTCAACTGTGGCTGAACTTTTTGGATTTGAGGACGAAGGCGTCTAGCTTAGTCTCAATTCAACCGTAATTGAACTTGTTGGTGAGGGCACATAGCCCGGGTCCCAGTTCAACTTGTAGTTGAACTTGTAATTTTTTATGGCGACGGCACATAGCCTGAGTCTTGGTTCAACTTGTAGTTGAACTTATTGGCGAGGGCGCATAGCCCGAGTCCCAGTTCAACTTGTAGTTGAACTTATTGGCGAGGGCGCATAGCCCGAGTCCCAGTTCAACTTGTAGTTGAACTTATAATTTTTGTTGGCGAAGGCACATAGCCTGAGTCTTGGTTCAACTTGTAGTTGAACTTATTGCCGAGGGTGCATAGCCCGAGTCCCAGTTCAACTTGTAGTTGAACTTGTAATTTTTGTTGGCGAAGGCGCATAGCTTGAGTCTTGGTTCAACTTGTAGTTGAACTTATTGGCGAGGGCGCATATCCCGAGTCCCAGTTAAACTTGTAGTTGAACTTGTAATTTTTG